CAAGATAATGGATCGGCCGTTCAGCAACTATGCCCCAGGAATTTCTATGGAATTTCCCAAGATAGAAAGAAAATCATCAACAATTCAAAAATATTCTAAGTGAAAAGAAAGTCAAATCATTTGCAAAAGGTATGTGGTGGGTTATATGGATCTCACATGGCTGGGCAAAATTCGGAAGTGGCCATTACATATGTGCATACATATGGAAATTTGGAACAAAATACTTCGGAATAGAATTTAAAAGAAAATAATCGAATTTTTTTAGTGCCTATAGAGGGCATGGATTTTTTAAAGAATATTTTTGGGGGTCTAGACTTTTTTTTAAATAATTTTTTGTCTTCAACAATATAGGCGTGAATTTTTTTAAATAATATTTTTTTCAAGGACTATATTTAGCCATTGAACTACTTATTAGAAATTCATTAACAAATTAAGTGTACCGGTACACTTCATGAAATCGTGCATTAACGGATTTTGACCGCAGCGTTTATTCAACTGTGAAATAAAAGGTCTATTCCGAACAGCTATAGATAGAGGAAATGTTAGCCACAATGGAACAAAAAAAAACAATTTTCAATTGTTATATAACATGTTTTAATTAGCAATAAACTCTAAATTTTGAAGAACAAGCATTTCGATTAGTCATACGGCAGAAAATTACAATTGGTAAAAAAAATAAATAAATATTTATTAAAGTTAAAAAAAAAACAAAAGTAAAAGTCAATTTAATGACCATTGCCAAATTATTAATAATTAAAGCAAGAACAATTAATGAGTAATTAATAATAACTACAACAACAAGAAATTGCTAGAAAAAATTAAAAATAAATATTGAAAAAAAAATTTGGGGCTCCCAAAGAGACCTGGATTTTTTAAAAATATTTTTTAGAACTCCCATCAAGGCGTGTATTTTTTAAATATTTTTTTTAGAGCTCCCATCAAGGCGTAGATTTTTAAAAGCATTTTTTAGAGCTCCCATTAAGGCGTGGATTTTTTAAAGAATATTTTTTAGAGCTCCCATCAAGGCGTGGCTTTTTTAAAGAATATTTTTCAGAGCTCCCATGAAGGCGTGGATTTTTTAAAGAATATTTTTCAGAGCTCCCATCAAGGCGTGGATTTTTTAAAGATTATTTTTTAGAGCTCCCATCAAGGCGTGGATTTTTAAAGAATATTTTTCAGAGCTCCCATCAAGGCGTGGATTTTTTAATGAATATTTTTTAGAGCTCCCATCAAGGCGTGGATTTTTTAATGAATATTTTTTAGAGCTCCCATCAAGGCGTGGATTTTTTAAAGAATATTTTTTAGAGCTCCCATTAAAGTGTGAATTTTTTAAAGAATATTTTTTAGAGCTCCCATCAAGGCGTGGATGTTTTAAAGAATATTTTTTAGTGCTCCCATCAAGGCGTGGATTTTTTAAAGAATATTTTTCAGAGCTCCCATCAAGGCGTGGATTTTTTAAAGAATGTTTTTCAGAGCTCCCATCAAGGCGTGGATTTTTTAAAGAATATTTTTTAGAGCTCCCATCAAGGCGTGGATTTTTTAAAGAATATTTTTTAGAGCTCCCATCAAGGCGTGGATTTTTTAAAGAACATTTTTTAGAGCGCCCATCAAGCGTGGTTGTAAATGCTTTACTAAAGTCCCTAAATATCTTTCGATTTACACGAAATTTGGCATAGCGTATTAAATTGAGTCAATAATGGTGTGTGCTAAGTTTCCGAAAAATCGGTTCAGATTTAGATATAGCTCCCATATATATTTTCGTCCGATTTAGGGTAAATGGTGCATCAAAGTCCCTAAATATCTTTCGATTTGCACGAAATTTGGCATAGCGTACTAAATTGAGTCAATAATGATGTGTGTTAAGTTTCGTGAAAATCGGTTTAGATTTAGATATAGCTCCCATATATATTTTCGTCCGATTTAAAGTAAATGCTGTACCAAAGTCCCTATATATCTTTCGATTTGCACGAAATTTGGCATAACGTACTAAATTGAGTCAATTATGATGTGTGCTAAGTTTCGTGAAAATCGGTTCAGATTTAGATATAGCCGCCATATATATTTTCGTCCGATTTAAGTTAATTGGTGTACCCAAGTCTCTATATATACTTCGATTTGCACGAAATTTGGCATAACGTACTGAATTAAGTCTAGAACGATGTGTGTTAAATTTTGTGAAAATCGGTTCAGATTTATATATATCTTTCGATTTACACGAAATTTGGCATATCGTACTAAATTGAGTCAATAATCATGTGTGTTAAGTTTCGTGAAAATCGGTTTAGATTTAGATATAGCTCCCATATATATTTTCGTCCGATTTAAAGTAAATGCTGTACCAAAGTCCCTAAATATCTTTCGATTTGCACGAAATTTTGCATAGCGTACTAAATTTAATCAATAATGATGTGTGCTAAGTTTCGTAAAAATCGGTTTAGATTTAGATATAGCTACCATATATATTCGCGTGGATTTTAAAAATTATTTTAGGGCTCCCAATATTGAGATCGTACTGTATATCATAATTTTTTGTTTTATCTTTTTTATCTCATTCCACTCTCTCTTTCTCTCTTTTTGCTTATTGAAATAAACGTGATCATGACTCAATATTTTTTTTTGTTGTACTAAAAAAATCATCTCAATCTCATTTGAGAAAAAAAAACAAATTTCTTATGGGGATTTACCAATGATCCGACACAGAAACTTATGACGTCACAACTCGCCAATATTATTTTTATTTCAAATTTTATTTTCAAAGAATTAAAGAACAAAGCTTTTGGTTCGGTTCCTTCGTTCAGTACGCGGTGTTAAGGTTAACTAAACCCGTTTGTTGTTGTTCTTTTTGGCCTGATCTCAATATTTGTTGCTATTTCATTGTCATTTGTTTTGTAGTTGCTGTGATTTTTTTGTTCTGTTCGCTTACAAGATTTGAAAGGAAATAACAACAAATACAACAACAACTCACCACCACCGACAAACGTTATGGGGGTTTATTCTCAATGCTCCATGGGGCTAACGCCACATTCACAAAACGGTAACAGACGCGTGCGGTTCATTTAGCTCGCATCCGAATTTTATAGTGGCTGAGTGGAGTAGAACTCGACGATTGGGGCTCAAAATCTAACCAAAAAAAAAACTTAACTGTGATAACAAAAAATAAAAACTACCAAAAAAACAACAACACCATATTAACTATAATTAAAATAATTTATAACTACAGTAACAAACAACAACAACATGTCGTGTAATAATGAAGGTATGTGCAAAAACAAACATAAATTGTGATATGGGTATTTCCATGAGCCCGAAAAAAATAATCTTTAAAAAATCCCCACCTCCATAGGAGGCCTAAAACATATTCTTTAAAAAATCCCCACCTCAACGGGAGCCCTAAAAATATTCTTTAAAAAATCCCCACCTCAACGGGAGCCCTAAAAATATTCTTTAAAAAATCCACGCCTTGATGGGAGCCCTAAAAAATATTCTTTAAAAAATCCACGCCTTGATGGGAGCCCCACCTGCATAGGAGCCCTGAATAATACTCTTTAAAAAATCCCCTCCTCCATGGGAGCCCTAAAAATATTATTTAAAAAGTCCCCACCTTCATTGGGGACCCTAAAAAATATTCTTTAAAAAACCCCCACCTCCATTGGAGCCCTGAAAATATTATTTAAAAAATCCACATCTCCCTAAACCCTAAAAAATAATCTTTAAAAAATCCCCTCCTCCATGGGAGCCCTAAAAAATATTCTTAAAAAAGTCCCCACCTCCATTGGGGCCCTAAAAAATATTCTTGATGGGAGCCCTAAAAAATATTCTTTAAAAAATCCCCACCTCCATAGGAGTACTAAAAAATATTCTTTAAAAAATCCCCACTTCCATGGGAGCCTCAAAAAAAAAATCACGCATTGATGGTAGCTCTAAAAAATATTCTTAAAAATCCACGCGTTTTTGGGAGCCTTAAAAAATATTTTTTAAAAAAAATTATTTTTTTCTTTCTCCATTTTCAGTTTTTAATTTAAATGTCCTGATGCAGCAGCAGCAACAACCCCACATGGAATGTCAATTCAATATTACTCATGCTGCTGATGGCTATACCCCGCTGCCCATACAAAGTTTTCCCACCCTGATGGCGGTGGGCATGAATTTATTCAATCACGTTTTAATTGTGACACTGACCTCGTATATGGTCTATAAATGTTGGCTACTAGAATTTCAAAAGACCGCCCTGCATGCCCATCTTTGTACACTTGGGGTAGGTATACCTTTGATGGACCCAAAACCACTCATTTCTAATTTGTTCCATTTCTCCCCATTTTCAGTTTGTTCTCCTAATGGCCGAGGGTGTAATGGTCCGTTATCGGGCCAATATTCTATTCGATGACTATTCAGCGGAAAGTAAGACCCTGCTGCATGCCTTATTACAATTTATGGGTGGATTTTTGGGTATCATTGGAACATTGCAAAAATACTGGGGTAAAGAGACCCATTTTAAGTCACGTCATGCAAAATTTGGTAAGATCGAATAATTGAAGAAAAAATCGGATTAAATATAAACTAATAACATCCCTTCCCCTCTCTCTCAGGTTTGGCTGCCTGCATATTCTGTTTCATAAATTTCATCGCCGGTTTCTGTACCCTGATCTTACCCTCTAGCCGTATTGCCATGAAACTCCTACACACATCCTTGGGCCTTTTGACATTTGTCACCGGTATGTTGGCTCAGATCTTTGGCTATGACACCGGGTTCTTTCAACGCAATTTTACCCATAAGAGGCTATTTAAATTTGTCACCTTTGTTATAATGGCCATATCGATTATTGGACCCTTTAAGATGATTACACAAAAAATGCACAGCACTTTTGTTAATTATATGCCGCAGGTGAATATCTAAAGTGAGCGGGATGACTTAGATATATGTGACGATCAAAAGAAAAACTGTGATTTGTACGATTTTAAGGTTAATTGTTGTAACCCACCCCCGGTGGGACCCCCTTCTATGTGTTTTGTTTGTTTTTTGTTCTAGAGATATAAAATTAAGTTATTATAAAAATATAGTATTTAAATAAATTATAATTTTATAATAAAAAAGCTTTAAAAAATCCATGCCTCTTTTGGCGCCCTAAAAATTATTCTTTAACAAATCCCCACCTCTATGGGAGCCCTAAAAAATATTCTTTAAAAAAATTCCCACCTCTATGGGAGCCCTGAAAAATATTCATTAAAAATCCAAACCGATTAGTCTCTCTTCCTTTCTACTCAAGACTTTAGAATGGTTACTAGACTCAGAAATTAGGAAAGCTATTGACCAAATTAAACTTAGCAACCCCCATCATGCACACATCAAAGGCAAATCAGTGGATACAGCCTTACATGAGGTTGTTGGATGCATAGAGAAGAATATGGAGTCCTCTGGCTACACTTTGGCAAAATTCCTCGACATTGAGGGAGCTTTCAACAATGTGAAGCTAGAAACCATCCATTCTGCTTTCGTAAGCACAGATATCCCCTCACTCCTAACGGAATGGATTGATAGAATGCTGGAAAGCAGAATTATCAACTCATTCTGCTTAGGAGAGAGTTCCGTGAGGAAATCTGTCAACAGAGGCACACCACAGGGAGGAGTACTATCTTCCCTTTTGCGGCTTCTGGTGATAAATGAGATATTTCTGAAATTCAATCATTTCAGGATAAAGGTTGTAGCCTATGCCGATTAAGTTGTTGTTGTTGTTGTAGCAACTGTCTACATGTTTGTTTTATTTAAATTATTCTGGTTCCAGGTTCAGGAAGGTTGCAATCTGTAACGGCTGCGTCCAAAGAGATTCCGGAGACAAATGTGTGGGTTTAGCAGGGCAGTTAAAGAGATGCAGCGTATCGTGAGGTCCAAGTCCCATGCATGGCATGTGTTTCATACCGCGCTGTCAATTCGAGCCCAATACGAATTGAGGCAGCTGCACCATCCTGATCATAGTTGGACTAAAACCACTCTCTACTAGCCGCTGATGGTTGGGGGTATGTTTCTAATGACAATTGCAGACATCCTGGAGGGTGCCCTTTCAACCCTGTCTAGCTGGGCATACGCCAAAGGTCTTGGTGTAAACCCCACTAAGACAGAATTGGTGCTCTTCACTAGGAAACGTAAGATTCCAAGTTTCCGTCTGCCATCACTGGGAGAAGTGACTCTGAACCTTTCTGAAGAAGCAAAATACCTTGGCACCATCCTTGACCGTAAACTAACGTGGAATAGAAATGTGGAGAAACACTCTAAGAAAGGACTGCTGGCACTCTACTCTTATAAGAACTCCATAGGTAAGAGCTGGGGATTAAGACCCGAGATAATACGCTGGCTGCATATGACGATCGTCCTACCCATTCTTACTTGTGGTTGCCTTGTTTGGTGGCAGGGGGTCAACAAAAAGATGCTGCTGAGAAAATTAAGTTTAGTACAGCGATCGGCTTCAAATCTGATCACCGGAGCGTTAAGAAGTACACCACAGGCAGCCTTGAATGCAATTCTGGATCTCCAACCACTGGACATTCTGATTAAGTTCCAGGCGGCCAGGAGTGCCCTGAGGCTCCGGGAAACGGATACCTTGAAATCGCTGAACTATGGTCATGCTAGCATCCTAAACATAACGCCAGGTTGTGACCTCTTGAGGGGGAATAGTCATATTAGTGACTATGTTCCCTCTCACAGAGACTTTAATGAGTTTGGAAGATATGAAATGGTAAAACCTCTTCTTTAAAATAGACCCAAAATTTGACATGGCTAAATAACCTTTTTACCGCTCTTCTTCTCTCGCTCTCTTTTCTCCTTGCTCTTCCACTCTCTATTTTCTTTTCTTTGCAGGTAAAAAAGGATGATCACAATGGGCATAGTCTCCGAGTGGACGGTTGTTACAACCGTACATTCCTAAACAAACCTAAGCTCGAAAAAATATTCTTTAAAAATCCACGCCTTGATGGGAGCTTGAAAAAAAAATTCCTTAGGAAATCCTGGCCTTGATGGGAGTTCAACAAAAATATTCTTTAAAAATCCACGCCTTAATGGGAGCTTAAAAAAAATCCTTAGGAAATCCTCGCCTTGATGGGAGTTCGAAAAAATATTCTTTAAAAATCCACACCTTGATGGGAGCTTGAAAAAAATTTCCTTAGGAAATCCTCGCCTTGATGGGAGTTCAAAAAAAATATTCTTTAAAAATCCACGCCTTTATGGGAGCTTGAAAAAAAATTCCTTAGGAAATCCTCACCTTGATGGGAGTTCGAAAATATATTTGTTAAAAATCCACGCCTTGATGGTAGCTCGAAAAAATAGTCTTTAGGAAATCGACGCCTTTTTAATCACCCCTATTCCGTATGTCGTCGTCGTTGTCGACGACGTTTCTCTTTCGACATCACTTCGCATCGACATCGACATCACTTCGACACTTATTTGGTATTCTGTAACACTCATGCGACGATGTCGACTATTTATCGATAATATCAATAAAAACAAAAATTTTGTTGCATACTTTTGGGCAAAAATGTGTTTGTATCCTTCACCGCACTGTGGCACAGGGCATTATGTCTTGGTAAATATGTTTGCAACGACCAAAAAGAAACGAGATAGACCCATAGTTACTTTTTAGTATATAGTATGTACATAGAATTATTTTTCAGTCGATTTATGCATGTCCCTCCCATTCATGTATTATTTTAAACAAGTTACATGCCACCATTATGATCCGAACGGGATGAAATTTGGAAAAAATCCATCCAATTGGGATGAAATTTTATTTCCACATAGACGAGTCCTATTGACATTGGTCAAAATCGGTTTAGATTTATATATAGATCCCATATATTTTTCTTTATTTACACTTTATTTTGCATTAAGTATTGAATAGATTCTAGAATGATGTATCCAGTTCTTGTCCGGTCATGTTTTTTTTTTTAAATTTAAAAAAAAAAATGTTCAAACGCTTCAGTCGTCAACAAAAACTATGACGAAGAAATCTTCGACATCGTCGTCGTCACACATTGTTACGGAATACCAAACATCTTTCAATAGTTATCGATAAATGTCGACAACGACATAGGGAATACCAATTTGCAAAAGACGACTCTCTTCGACGTCGATTCGTGTCGACGACGACATACAGAATAGGGGTGAATATTCCTCTCCTTCCAATGTGATTCCCCATTTGTTGTTGGATGGTCCTCCAAAGATTATTTCCAATAGTGCAAATGTTTGTGTTTAAATAATTTATTCTCCAAATGATACCGGGTCGATTTTCGGGGTAGGAAATTTCTTTCCATAACACAGTTATACATTTGTTTTGAACAACTAATTACTACACATAGATATTTTGTTAGATTATGATATACATATATAGAAATAGGCTTGGAAGAGTAAATAATATATAAGGGAATAAGACCAATGTCATTTCATATTTCAAACACTACAAACTAAGATAAGATACATAAACGAAAAATAGTTATTCTTTAAAAATAAAATTCAGTTTTTTTGGGCGAATTGGAAACCCCAATTCCAGCCCACCATTCAAATTATGTATTTCATTTAACGGCCCATACGTTGAGAGGCCGAAATAAGATCCAATGCTTCGGGTATATTGCCATTGACACTTTCCAATAATTGTGTCAGCCAGGCACCCTCATTGCTGAAACCCATTGCCATCATGGCGTGAACAGAGCTGTTGATGAGTTCATCTAAAAAAATGGAAAAAAGGGAATTATTTTAAATATTCAAAAAAAATAATAATTTTTCTATTAACTTACCCTGATGATAAACAGGTACGGATCTCTTCTCTTCGGGTTTTTTGGTGGCTGCTGAAGTTTCCTTTTCTGTTTCCTTGTTGAAAACTGGTACAGCACGCAATTCCTTTGGTACCTCGTTGGCTGCTCCCTCCTTACGTTCTTCTGTTTCCATTTTATCAATGTGAGCCTTCAGATCGGCACTAATTTGGGCAAAGTCCATCACATTGGATTTATTCAAAGAAGATTGTGGTGGTGTTGTTGTGGCTGAGCTGGGACCAGCAGAAGGAATTGATGCTGCAGCTGGGGCTGCCTCAGGACTTGCCTCCTTGGAGTTGGGGGCATTCAATTTAATAAATGACTCCGAAACGCTATCACTTTCACTATCACTACCCACATCACTGATATCCAAGAGACCATCAGTGGCGGCGGCTTGCTCTTGGCTGGTATTCCTTGGCTCTGCAGCGGCGGCGGCTTCAGTTTCAGATTTTGAAGATGTTGTAGTTTTTGAGGAATTCATCGAGTTGGTATTGGAGTGTTGTGAAGATGTATTTGAGGGTCGACGAAAATTGGCGGCAAATGGACAAGCGGTGGCATCACCACCCTCAGCCCCATCCATGGGATCAAGCATTTTGGCAAACATATCATTGAAATTATTCAAAATTTCCATGCCACCCTTCAAGAGTTTGGGATCAAGCAATTGGACAAAATCTTGTAGTGAGGGGGTGGCTGACATTGTTGGTGTGGCTTGGGCACTGTTATTGGGTGTTGACGATTTGGATGTGGTGGGTTTTTCGTTATCAACCGATGTAGTAGTGGTAGAGGGGGAGGGACTGGCCTCCTTGGCTGTTCCAGCCATGGTAGTTTCCTGTATAACCTTGGCTGCAATTTCAGCCGATTTTACAGCTGTCTCATGGGCTTTTTGGGCTGCCAAATTTGCTGCTTCGGCAGCTGCCTTGGCAATGGCCTCATGATCCACATTTTCAGTAGTTGGAATTTTTGTAGTATTATCAGAAGTCTCTGGTGTACAAGCCGAATCTCCAGCAGAGGCGGCTGCAGCAGCTGCTGCTGCTCCACCTCCCTCAGCTAAATCATGCATCATTTCATACAAATGAGATAGGAAATTGTGACGAGCATGGCGACGTCCATGTTTACGACCACTTTCTTTGGTCTTTTCACCTTCTCCATTACCGGTGGCACCGGCAGCTGCCGAGGAACAGCTTGGTGATCCAGCTGTTGCTGCACTCTTCCAACGTTTTTCATGATGATGATGTTTACGACCCAATTTACGACCACACCCAGCAAGACCAGGTGTTACCCAGGCATCCACCACAAATGGACAACTATTGTTGGGCATACGAATCATCATGTGATCACCGTGGACATGCTTGGCTTCACAATGTTGACACAAGTCATAGTTGGGACATTGGATACACTTGTAACGAAAACCGATAATGGGTGCCATTAGGCATGAATCACATTCGACACCCATATGAATTTGATTGACATCAAAAGTAACTTCGGGTTGGGGTGGTACTGAAGTAGATTGAGCACCAGCAGCATTAGCTGTAGGATTTGTGGTCTCAGCTGTAGGAGGAGTGGCCTTAGTGGTGGTTGCTGTGGCTTCCTGGGACTTTGTCACCACGGCTGGTTTGGCATTATTTTTGGGTGCCACATATAAATGACGGCGTCCACCAATCTCCCAAAAGATATTAAAGCTATCTTGTGAGACAATATCGATTTCATCACCATCCTCATCTGGAAAAATAAAAAAACATTAATTTTTGAAAGAAAAAAAAAATAAAAAATAATAAAAATTGAAGGGGTAATTTAAAAAATAGGAGTTTCTGAATTTTGGACCAAAATATAGAAGTTTTGTTCCCACATCAATGCAGTTCATTTTATCGAATTCGAGGTATCAAAATTCTATTAAAAATATGTTTTGAAGGCCTTAACAAAGCCGTGGATTTTTTAAAAAAAGGCGTTTGGAGGCCTCAAATTAAGAGTCTTTTTTTTAAAGAATTTTCAAAGACTACCATAAGATAAGGATTTTTTAAAAATTATTTTGTAAATTAATTGTTGCCCTGTGTATTTGAATGGTACTCCCCCAAAGCATGTTTATCATTGTTTTGATGACTCAGAGTATGTCAATCTAATTGTGTTATCTTTTCTATGATTATAAATAAAATCAATGATAAAGAGCCATAATACAAAACAATACAAAACACAAACATATATGGGCTACTCAGGAGCCCTGCAGATTCTATATATGTGACCATAACAAATATATACTATATAGGTGAATCTTGTTAGGGCCTTAACATTTGATGACCGATATATGTGGCAGCTATATCAGAATCGATTTCAATATCTGAAGAATAATATTATATTATTTTCCCTCAAAAATCGAAAATCGGAGTTCGGATATAGGGAAGAGCTTTATCTTAAACTGAACCCATTGGTATGAAATTTAATAGAGGTATTACTAGACTACACACAATTTCTCATGGCAAATATTAACTGTATCGGGTGTCTATTAGAGACTTTTTTGTGCTAAAAACCTAAAATCGGATGTCGGATATAGCTGACAACCCTATGTAAATTTGAACCGATTGGAAGGAAATTTTATAGAGATGTTACTAGGGTATATACAACGTCTCATACCAAATATTGTCAATATCGGATGAATTATAAAGCCTTTTTTCGGCAATAACGTGAAATCGGAGATCGGATATATGTGAGAACTATATCTGAAAATGAATCGATTTGTACGAAATATAGCATAGGTAATACTACCATACCGATTATTATCATGAGTAATATAACTTTTCCCGGCAAAAACGTCAAATCGGGGTTCGGATGTATACTAGAACTATCGAAAATGTCAACCGATTTCTGCGAAATTTGTAAGGAATATTACTAGGCTATCTACAATGCCTCATACCATATATCATCATTATTGGATAAAAATAAGAACCGGTTTCCGACAAAATCGTAAAATTTGAAGTCGGATATCCGTGGCAACTCTATGTAAATTTCACGCGATATGTATTAAATTTGATAGAGGTGTTGCTAGGATATACACAATGTCTCATACCAAATATGGTCAATATCAAATACAATTTAGATACTGACATTGGGTATATGTGTAAATTTCGATCGATTTGTATATTTGTATGTATTTATATACACAATGACTCATGTAAAATATCATCATTTTCAGATCATTTTTCCGACAAAATTGTGAAATCGGACTTTGGATATACGTGGCAAATCTCTGCAAATTTGAACCGATTGTTATGAAATTTGTCATGGATATTAACAGGCTATACATAATGTATCATACCAAATTTCGTCAATATCCGATGAATATTAGAAAAAATGTTGGCACAAACGTGAAATCGGACATTGGGTACATATGACAGCCATATGTAAATTTGAACCGATTCGAACAAAATTTGGCAGATGTATTGCTGGACTATATGCAATGTCTCTTAGCAAATATGATCGATATCCGAAGGATATTTCAGTACTTTGCCATTCAAATTGTAAAATTCGAAGTCGAATATGTGTGGGAGCTATATGTAAATTCAAACCAATTTGAACCAAATTCAATAGAGGTAGTATTGGATACTATACCATTTCACGTACCGACTATTAACATCATTAGATGTATATTAGTGTATTTTTGCTGCAAAAATGAGGAATCGGATGACGGATATGTATGGGAGCTACATATAAATCTGAACCGATTTGAACCAAATTTAAAAGAGGTATCGCAAGACCTCACACATTGCCTCTTAGCAAATATCAACGGTATCGGTTGCATATTTCAGTAATTTTCCATACAAATTGTAAAATTTGAAGTCGGATATGTGTGGGAGATATATGTAAATCTGAACCGATTTGAACCAAATTTATCAGGGGTGTAACCATACTATAGCATTCCAAATATCATGGATATCGGAAGAATATTTCAGTCTTTATTATGCAAAAATGTAGAATCGGTCGTTTGGTACATGTGGCAGCTATATCTGAACCTATTTGAACCAAATTTGACAGAGGTAATATTGGACAATATGCAATATCACATACTGAATATCAGCGATATTGGTTACAATTTACATTATTTTTGAAGCAAAAATGTATAATCGAACCTTTGGTACATGTGGCAGCTATATGTAAATCTGAACCGATTTGAATAAATATTTACAGATGTAGTATTGGACAATATATAATGTCACATACCGAATATCAGCGTTATCGAATACGTTTGACATTATTTTTGCAGCAAAAATGTGAAATCGGACTACGGATATAGGGGTACTTTGAAATATAAACCAATTTGTTGACCTATAAATTTCTAAATTTCATTGAAAATTCTCCTCAATTTTTCTTCCAAATTTCCAATCTGACGATTATTCAAAAAACCGTTCTTTCCCCATTTGCTGCTTAATCATGATTCATTTTTCAAATTACAACACGCATAAGAGAAACAGAGGCCTTCTCTTCGATTGCATGATGATAACGGCTGTTTTCTCTTACACAGAACACAAATCAAAGTGCAATCGGTAAAAATTGCACCACCACCGCCATTCACAACAACAACACGTATTGCAAAATATACTATGTATCACAAATTTGCATGTTCTTCTTTTTGCATCATCTGATATACAGGAGAAAAATAATTATATCTTTTACAATATTAAAAAATATTTTTTTTTTGCAAATACTTACCAATCCAATAGTAACGTATTTCGCAACGTTCCTCTTTACGTTCTTCAAACAGGGTTTGAACTATCCGTTCTTGGATGTTGGTAAAGCTAGGCGAAGAATCTTTCAAATAACCATTGATTTTTTTGCCATCGGGCAAAATGTAGGAAAATTTCAGCAATGTTGACATGATGATTTTGGTCGATAGATTGGCTTATGAAACAAAGTCGCTCGGTTTGGTATTATTAACTAATTATCCGGTTTGTTTTAAGCGATTTTTTTTAATTTCTGGTAAACTATTTTTAAATTTTTTCTTCAACACTTTTATTGCGTTTTACTTTAGCTGTCCGACGACTTCTTTACGCTGTGATTCTGTTTTCGTACTGTATAGTTTGTTGGATGGCCCTTTGTTTTTATATGACCCAACAGCAGCTCGACACGAAACATACGCACCACACAATAACAACGCAATTATTGCTCATTCACTCACTCTTGCATTGGAAACTATTTCACAATTTCTCTTAAAAATAACTTCACCGGGTTTTCGCTCTCTTTAATTCTCGCTTGTTCTGGACAATTCCTTCAAAATTTGCAATATCACTTTTAATTCTGGGACTGGATTGGATTTAATTAAAGTGATGACTAGCCGACTGGTTGACTGACGACTATCTTGGGTGACTTGGAGTTTTGTTTTGAAGTGTGTGTCTCTGTTTTCATGTCGACACTGAACATACGCATTGTTTGCAATTGATATGGGTATGGAGTGATGCTATGATTTTAACGTATGGCAAATGTAAACAATTAACTGAATTAATACAAAATGAGATGTAACTTATATAAAAATAAATTAAAAATGAAAAGAATATTAGTATTTAAAAATTGCAAGTTTATAGTAACCGCTAAAAACAAATATTTTGAAAATTCATGCTTACAGTTGGGAGAAGTTGTGTTCTTCCCCACACTGAACATACCCATTGCTTGTAATTGATATATTTATGGAGTGATGCTAGCATTTTAACGCAAGAAAATGTAAAAAAAATTACTTTATTGATAGATAAATATCATATATAATAAAGTACATTTTTACACATTTGTCTTGCGTTAATATATATATATATATATATATATATATAACATAAATAGGTGATCACTGCCCGACTGGCTGACTGTGCGTATGAGTTTTGGTTTAATGTCTCTCCGAGACTTGCTCTGTTGTTTGTGTACACTGAACATACCCATTGCTTTATATTGATATGCTTACAGTAAGTTTACATTTATCCGGATTTCGTTAACCCAGTGGGTTTTAATTGTCATTTCCTTTGCATATATGTCAAATAAATCCTCATAAAGTAGGTTAACCCAGTAAAAAGTTCTAATGTACAAAGAGTTTTATGGAGTAAAGCTAGCATTATAAAACTCGCAAGTTTCAATAAATAAATGAATTGATAGAAAAATTAAAAAAATAAGATATATATAATAAAAAATATATATAATAATAGAAAATATACATAATAGAAAATAAACATTTTTTGACACTGCAGGCACAATGAAAAAGCATTCTATTAAAAAGACGTAAAATTGGACGTCGCATATACGCGATAAATATATGCCAATTTTCTCAGCAGCCTCCAAAGCCCTGAAATACCAAATTAGAACCGTTTTGGTGGGAAAATGCGACAAAAACCGTAAAAATATTTTTTGGTTTAGATGTTTTCTACTCAATGAGAATCCAAAATATCAAATTAGAATCAATTAGGTTGACAAACGTGCCCATACTCCCCAAATTACTCGGAAACTTCGGCAAATATTGATAATTAGCAGTAGAAAGATATGCTGCCTATTAGCAATCCAAAATACCAAATTACAGCTGAGTAGGTTGAAAAACATTCCCAAACTCCCCAAAATATCAAATAATAGAGAATTCTGCAGTTTGGTGACTACCACAAAACATAGACAAATTTTGATAATTTTTGGTAGTGAGATTTGTTACACAACGAGAATTCAAAATACAAAATTACAGCCAAGTTCGTTGGAAAACGTATCCGAAATCCCCAAAATACCGAATACTGGGGGGTACCGTCATATGGAGGCTACCCTGAAACTTAAGATTAATAATTTTTGGTACGGAGATGTGATATATAACGAGAACACAAAATACCAAATTACAACTAAATCGGATGGAAAATCGGATGGAAACATGAAAACGTGGACCGATATATCCCATTTGCAATACCAAATATCCTAGGGGTACTAGCAATGTCTGTGCAAAATTTCAGAGCTCTATCTTAAATATTGCTATCGTGATTTGAACAGACGGACAAACATGCATAAATCGGCATAGAATTTTATTTACATCAAGATTATATATTCTTTATGGGATCTCATGTGAATATTTTGAGGTTGATGATGAAAGCAAATACTAATATGCACTAAAAATTCAAATTAAAAATAAAATTGATTAGGTATGTTCAGTGCAATTGTAATAAATACACAAACCTTCCGTTGTGCTACACTGAACATTCACATTGCATGTAAATGAAAAACTAGATTCACAATCGTTATGTTTCGTTACACTGAACATACACAATGTATGTAATCAATACGATTTTACAATTCATTGCCGAACAAAATTTTCAAAATCAGATTAAAAAGAAAATAACTTAAGTGTTTTCAGTGCAATTTTAATGTAAATGCACAATCTTTCCGTTTCTCATCACTGAACACACACTTTGCATGTAAATGACGTTGCATAACACTGAACATACATATCTACATTGTAAATACACACACTTTGCATGTAAATGACGTTGCATAACACTGAACATACATATCTACATTGTAAATACACTATTATTCACTGAACATACACATTGCTTGTAAATGACACATTTTTTCATTTTCATAACACTGAACATACGCAAGGTACGTAATTAATATGGTTTTACAGCAGGGACATGCAGAAAGCCGCTCATTTACGCCTATTTACACCTGAAATTACCTAATTGCCCGATAATGTGCATTTTCCACGCGATTTAATAAAAAATAGGGAACTTTCCAATAAGAGATGTTATAGTTTTTACAATTTTTAGTAATTCCATAGTTTCCATAAAAGTGGCAGCTATCGAAATACCGAGTAATTCATAAAACCACCTCTTATTGGAAAACTGTTTACTAATAATAATCGTTTAATCCTAGTAGTCTTAATAATATACATTTTTATTGTAAATATTCACAAATTACTTAAGAACATCAATTGTTCAATGCTTTCGCCCAAAAGTATGCTACATTTTTCCTAAAAGCACTTTTCAGTAGTATCACGTACCATTTTATTACACTGAACATACACATTGTATGCAAGTGGCACGCTACTATAATGCTACTTAATATCATGTAATTAATTTGCTTTTATAATTAATTGTCGAATTGACCAAACATTATATCCCCAAAAGTTGATGAAAATATGGGCATTTACAATAAGAGGTGTTATATATGTTGGAAGCTATTTTTATTTCCATTTTTGTTCAAAAAATAGCTAAGTATCGTTTTATTACACTGAACATGCACAATGCTTCAAATCGTAGGCCAATAAGATGTCTTTATTGCGAAATATGTACAACATGTTTTTTTCCACAATTCGTTAAAAATATAGGCCATGTAATTAATTTGCTTTTTACAATTAATTGGAACATTTTATCCCCAAAATTCGATGAAAATATAGACATTTACAATAAGAGGTGTTATATATCTGTTAGAAAATATTTTTATTCCCATTTTTGTTGTCGAAAAATAGATATGTATCGTTTCATTATACTGAACACTCATGCGAAATACGTCTCATTACACTGAACATACACAATGTTTGGAGACTGTTTTTGTTTTCGCTTTGTTTTAGCTTTGCATCACATCATTGCACTGAACATACGCATTGCATGGAAATTGTGGTTTATTAAAATATTTTTAAAATTCATTGTCGAATTTGCAAAATATTTGGCATTGTCCCTTGAGTTCGATGAAAATATAGGGATTTCCAATAAGAGGTGTTATTTTGTTATCAATTTAAGTATTAATAATATAAAATAATTTAATAATTATTATAATTACAATCTTAATGCTGTCACTTGTTCAATGTTATCGCCTAAAGGTATGCTACACTTTGTTTCGCAAATGCAATGCATTGTTCAGTTGAGAAAGATCAGCAGCATTGTTTTCATTTTGAATTTAACAACAAATAGAATTGTGCAGCAGACAGTCTGTAGTAAAATTAAATAAATAAACAAAAAACTAATCTTCAAATCATTGATCGCTCAATGCAGATATAAACAATAGACGAGCGAGAGAGAGAGAGAAATAGCGCGCGACAGACTATTCTAAATCTTTTAAAAAATTAATTTGATGAAAAACATATTATTAATGTTTTAATCATTTGGATGAATTTTCTTTCACACATGCACATTAATAAATTATTATAAATTTATTTCCATCAACAATTTTCCACGTGTTATTTATTTGGGGGGGGTTTCTTGTGTGTTTTTTCCGAAAAATCAATTTTGAAGATCACCTTCTTTCGGTTGGAAATTTAGTTGTTTTTTGTCATTTGCCCGGTGCTAACACACGGCATGCCGTTCGTCGTCCGGTGATAAGAAAGTGTTAAGTTTTTTGGAAATAATTAAAATTAAATTAAAAGGGTTTTGTAAATATCAAACTAATAGACAATGAGGTTTCTTTATACGAGGTATGGTGGTGAATTTTGAAAATGTGTATTTGAAAAAAGTACATAAGGCGTAGATTTTTTAAAAAAAGGCGTGCAATTTTAATAATTTAAAAAAATATTTCTAAAACAATTTTTTTCAATTCCCTTTTTTATTAGCCTTGCCCTCCTTTGTCTCGTGGCAGTTGTAGTAGTTGCCCAAAAAGAGGTACCGCTCAGTGCCAAGAACCTCCAAACCAATCAAAGTCAAATTTCGGAAACTCTCAGCACCACAACGACCACCGAAAATCCCTTGGAAAGTGATAATGATTACGATGAGGAGGGAGATTACGATGATGATGAGGATGAGACAAATAATGAGAACGATGATGGCAAGGATGTTCGTGGAGGAGGTCGAGGTGGGGGTACTAATTTGGAACCACCCAAGGATAAACACAATGGCAGACGGCGTCACAAGAAGATCAAGCAACACTTGGGCATAA